CAGAGTCTACAGGTTTGATTGCCTTGGCTAATGACTTACAATTCTGAATTTGTTTCTGGAAACTTTCACTGGTGTGCGTAGGTTAAGTTGAAAGCAACGCAGACTGGGCCTACAGGGATTCTGTTCTGTGAGGGAGCCAGAGATTGCTTTGAATATAGGCAAGAAGCATTTTAGTAAACTAGGAATGCTTTCTTGGGATTCTGTTTTAAAAATGAAAATCATATTCATGCAACAGGGTGTGGTGATTTGTTTCGCAAATGAGGCAGATCTTTAAACTGCCCGGGCCTCTCTCTCTCTCACTCCCCCACATACAAGAGACACTGTTTACTTCCAATGAACTTGGCAATATTTGGATATTATCTGTACTTAGAAGAGTATTGGTGTTCTCCAGTTAGTGGCTAACTCAGCGATTTTCAACCTTTCTCATTTCATGACACATAAACTGACTACTAAAATTCTGTGGCACACCAATAACTATATTCTATTTTTTGCCGATCTGACAAAAAATAGGTCTAATTTTGATTCATTCATATCAGACTACTATTGTGTTGGCTGTTGCCTTTTTTTTTTTTTTTTTGAAAGATTGGGTCAATTTTTTTAATTAATTTCAGGAATAGGGAGATAGGGACAGAAATATCCATGATGAGAGAGAATCATTCATTGGCTACCTCCGCATGCCCCCTACTGGGGATCCAGCCTGCAACCTGGGCATGTGCCCTGACCAGGAATCAAACCAGGACCTCTTGGCTCATGGGTTGATGCTCAACCACTGAGCTATACCAGCCAAGCTGTTGTCATTTTTAAAATTTGACAATCTAAGGGAAGTCAGTGCCCCTGACTAAATAGTCAGGTATTGCATGTTGTGGCTCATTCCCAGGTGGTAGCATACATACTCTAAACCCAGTGATCTCTTAATGCTGTGAACTAAAATAACTGACCTTAGGCAGAGTTCTTATCACCTGGGGGTGACCCGGGCCTGAGGCGGACGAGGCTCTCTGGGAACAGTTTGCAGGTATGATAGCACTGAAGGCCTCTCACTGGCAAACCTTTAATAAAAGATCGCAACTGTACACATAACTCATTCTGGGATTAATTTAGATTTTTGGACAGAGTCTAAGCTTCCTATTGCACCTAGTGGTCCCAACTGGGCACTTTTTAATGGATCTATAATCTCTCTGTAGCTGTAGGAGGTTTTAAATATCTTTAACTTATAAATATGTGAGATGAGGCATGACTCACAGTATTAGGTGACTGGCTTTAGAAAAATCTACAGCTTTAGGTTGCAGACCCATATTTATTTTGCTCATTACTGGAAATGCTCTCTCATGCCTTAAGGCAGCTCCTGACCTGCCATTTCTTACTTTTCTCTGTATTCTTTTCTCCCTACTTTGTGTGTAAGCAGTGTGTGTGTGTGTGCGCGCGTGTGTGTGTGCGTGTGCGCGCGTGTGCACGTGTGTGTGTGTGCGTGTGTGGTGTAAAGAGAAAAAGGAGAGGCAGAGGCACAGTATACAGATATAGCATTACAGATGATGTTTTTGAGCATCAGAGTTGTAAGAAAACTGATGCAATGCCACCAATTCCACTAGGAATTATAGGAGATCAACATAGGACCCATAAGCCATTTAACTTGTTAAATTTTATCCAACGGCAATATACTGATGCCCACTATTGTTCTGATATTGCTTTTGCAAAGATCACAACAAAACTAAAAACGGTCAAGATTCTTCCCCAAATATCTTTTCAATACAGTTATCGAGAAATATTCTGCAAAAGCATCCCTACCTTAGCTTAGGACCAAGAGGATGACTTTCAAAACCGACCTTCCTCCTGCTATTTCCTTTTACGATACTTAGTTTCTGGATCGCCAGAGATGCCAAACTCTAGCTAATATGTTACTTAGGATTCAACAGTAAGCAGGCAGTTTCCTGGAAACAAGTCTGCTGGGATTTTATTTTTTGATGTATGGATTTCACTGTGGGCAGGGGTGGGGATGCAACAACAAACAGGAATGAATGGCAGGCGGGCCTGAGTCCGTGGCCTTTGTTCCCCGGGGAAAGGTCTGAAATGAACTCGGCCTGCTGTGCGGCTGTAGGAAATGGCATGTCTTTGTGGAGGTGGAAAAAGCGGGCTCTGTTACCTAAGTGAAGGAGAGCGGGCCACATAAGATGAGCTGCAGGCAGCTTCACTTGGGTGGCAGTCGTCACGTAAACGAACCTGAAAGTATCTTCCCGTGGGGGCAAATTCTGTTAGAGTTCAATTTTTTCAAACACGTATTTTGAAAAATAAATAAAAATGATGGCGGTAAATTTCTGTTTTCTCTGAAGCCAGGCTTACCATGAGTGGAAGCATTGTGCTCAAAGAAAAAAGTCTGTTACAGGCCAGTACCCCCCAGGCACCCGCAACAGGTTTGACAGCAGGCTCTATAGAGCCCGCGGCTTCCGGTTCAGTGCCCCTGAATACCTTCAGTCACCATCTGCTCCCGGCCCGACGCTCAGCGCTGCACAAAGAACACTGAAATTTTAGCCAAGGAACTGGCGCTCAGGCTCTGAGCGTGCACTGTAATTAGGGCCTGCTTTATCCGCCACCGGCGATCAAATCCAATATTTCAGTCATTAGAAATATTGCAAAACAGAAATAAGCATGATGTCCTTGGAGTCCGATTTACTGCATGTTTCTTATTGCAAAATAAAGTGTGTATAGCTTGATCTGGATCGATGTGGCCAGCTCACTACAATGTTTAAAGTTTAGAAATTTGCTGTAACCGGTTTGGCTCAATGGATGGAGCGTCGGCCTGCGGACTCAAGGGTCTCCGGTTTGATTCTGGTCAAGGACATGTGCCTTGGTTGTGGGCATACCCCCAGTGGGGGGTGTGCAGGAGGCAGCTGATGGATGTTTCTCTCTCATCAATGTTTCTGACTCTCTATCCCTCTCCCTTCCTCTCTGTAAAAAAACAAACAAACAAAAAAATCAATGAAATGTATTTTTTTTAAAGTTTAGAAATTGTAACTCACCCACATTTGCATACTTGCATGGCAAACTAGGGATGCAAATCATCTAAGGTAGTTCTTTAAAAGTGTAAAGCTGGATTTACACTTTTTCAGTTTATCACGAGAAGCAATGACCAAAATAAGACATGTTCTTTTTTTCGAGCTGATATAATATGCAATGAAAATGCTGGGAAATAATAGTAAGAGAGCTTAAAAGTAGAAAGTATAATAAAAATAAAAAAGCAATTGCTTATAAGAAAGAAAAATAAAGCAGAGTAAGGGCAAAAGATCAGGCTGGAAAGGGGGTGTAACCTTAGATCAGGGGATGGCAAACATTTTAGGCATTGGGGGCCATATTCTCTGTGTGTTAGCTACTCTGCCCTGGACTGCTAAGGCTGCGAGGACAGTATTGAGTAAGTAGCAATCACTGTGTTCCAATAAAACTTCACTAACAAAAACAGGCCATGGGGGGATTGGGTGCATGGGCCATAGTTTGCCAACCCGTGTTCGTTAGACGGTTCTTCATAGAAGACCTCTCAGGTAAGGAGACGTGTGTGTAGGGAAATGTATTAAGTGAGGGAGCGAGCCATGGGTATCTGAGGGAAGAAGGTTCCAGGCAGCTGCATGCTGTGATCTAGTCCAACACGGCTTGCAATCTACAGAATAAACGGCTATAATCACCGATCTCTACTCAGCCATGTTTTAACATGGTCCTCTCAAATGTGATTAAGCATTGCTCAATATTCTACCAAGTCGACGAATCACAAGTTATCAAACCATTCCCTGTAACAACTGGTTACATAAATTGTCCAGTTATTTGGTGTCACAAATTCTACGGCAGCAAACATGTTGTATGTCGGATTGCTTGGCTACAGGAAGGCTTATTTGTTCAAAAGGCTTTTTACAGCTCTTCTCCACACTGCCATACCCATACACTCCTTAGAAACTTGCAGAAGATAATGACAGCCACTAACACAGAAAACTTCCTATAGTGTGTTGTTAGGATCCTTTGTGCTCACCCAGGAAGTAGAAGCCAGAGCAGCCAAGTCTGCAATGTTCATTTTCACGAGCAGAACTTGAAAGCCAAGAGCAAGAAGTAGAGCACCTGATGGGTTCCAATAATGCTCGATCTGCTCCTAAGCTATGTACCTCTCTGTATCAGGATCTCCATGTCTTTAAAGTGAGGTTAGTAATAACAACTCCATCACAGGGTTGCTGAAACTACTACATAATTATGTAAAGTCTCTAAAACTGTGCCTAGACTATGGTTAAGTACTCAAAAACATCACATTACAGTCAGGGTCATTATTACTTCTTTTTTTCCTGTGAATTGTCTGTTCATTTTTACTTTCCCTTATCTTTGAAATTTTGCTATTCTTCTTAAGTTGTCCATTTGAGATTGCTATTTTCACCTATTTTAGTTCCATGTGAAGGGCATGGAGAGCAGCAATAGATGTACATTAAATAGTACCCTACTTTACATCCAGTAACTGACTTAATATTTGCCAGTGGATAGCATCTGTCCTTTAATATTATTTTAAATAGTAATCAAGCTTTTGATTTTGAGTATTAAGTGTGCTAGCTTTGTTGGCATAAGAGGACACATTCTAAACAAAGTAAGCAACAAAACAGATGATGACAGTCATCCTGCAGTAGCCTAAGAAACAACAGCCCATTACCATCACTGAAAATAATATTTATTCAGGAACTACTATGTATAGACATGGACTTGACCTAGTAAATGCAAAGAAATAAATCTTGTCTTTGCCCTCAAGAGATATAATTATAATCTAGTTCATTCTTTTCTTTTTTTGAGAGGGTTTACACAGTGTTAGGTTACAGTATTTGATGTAATCTGATATGTCATTACACTATACCAGCTTCAATAATGTTTATGGTAGAGCACAGACAGTGGAGGGGAAAAAAGAAATTTCCTTTGTTAATTTTAAGTTGCACTATTAAAATATGTCAAACTAGTTATGCCCCCAAATACACACAAAAGGTTTTGCTCACCTCTGCATGTTACTGGAGGCTTTCCTGGGAATGGAAAGAATGAAATCACTATTATGCATTATGGGACCATCACAAAGTTTTAAGTAAGGGCCTAGATGAAGGCTATTTTTTAATATATATTATATGAGGTCCCAAAACCACAGTACCTAGTACATTCAAGATGCTGAATTCAGGGAGGGAGGGAGGGAAAAAAGAGAGGGTAGGGACCGAGTAGCAGCCCTGGCTATCTACTTACCCTTTCTCTCTCTAAGCTTTTACCATAATGATACATCCTTTCTTAGAGCTTTTTCTCTCTGAAAAAAAAAATGTATTTATTCATACTCCAAAATTGCCACTCATCTCCCTGCTCTCATTTCTAAAAGGCAGCCATAATCACGGGGGAGAAGCCTTACCAGTTCCAATGTGCCCTATTTCACTGCTAATATTAATGATCTACCGTGTACTGAGCCCTCTCCCCAGGCGCCAGGAAGTGAACCACTTTTAGTAGGAAGAACAGCTCTTCTTACTTAGGTGGAATAATTTCAGTGAGTCAGGCAGCCTTGGAAAGAGCCACACTGACTCCCCTAAGAGAAAAAGGAGCCGCCAAGTAGAACAGAATATGAGTGATCATTCCTCTAAGAGAGAACAGAATATGAGTGATCATTCCTCTAAGAGAGAAACGACGAGGCTGGTTTTCTAAAATGAATTAGTAGAGTGGATGGTGACATGCGACAGCCGCCCGTGAGTGCTGGCTTTGGATGCAACTTGGGGTGCAGTGCTCTTCACATCCACAACCTGAGACGAGGGCAGCTCTCAGTTCAACTGGTGAGATCTGTGGGGCCTGAATTACTGTCATGGATTAATAACTAAGGAATCTGCTTTGGAAAATGAATTGCAGAGCTCAGATGAAGAAAATGGACAGTCTGAAATTCAATTCAGATTGGTCCATAACTAAGTTTAGGTCAAAAAGGTAGTATATAAAATATCCCCCCCCCAACCCCCCCAAGGAAAAATTACAAATGAATGTCAAATTTAAAACTTTATTTTGGTGTTTCTACAAATGCATTAAAAGAAGCATGCTTACATGAGTACTAACATAAAATTTTAAAAAACACACCCTCAAAATGCAAAAGAAAGAACACTTTATTAGTGTGAAAGCAGTCATTTAAAAATATATCTGTATTCTGGGGGAGGGGATGTAATATTTCAACTGCCCAAATTTCCAAATGATTTTTTAAAACAAATAGTAATTTTTAGCCTACAGCATCACCCATTCCCATAGGATACAATACTGCCTCCTGGAATTGTGCAAGGAAAAGCCCTGGTATAAACAAAACAAAATATGGTATAGAGAGCAGGCAAAGAAGTAAATATTCACATAAAGCTACTGCCTTGACTATGTGAATTTGATTGGTTTTCTGTCTATGCTCCAAATAATCTCAGCAATATAATAAAACGTATTCATTAAGATTTTTTCTAAAACACTGGTATTTTTTTCTATATGGCTTAATAAAGCATCAAATCTGTGGTTGAAGCAAATAATTTGAGAGAGCATAAGTCCTAGTGAAATCAGTGGAGAATTTTCCAAAAAAAAAAGGGAGAAAGTTCTTGATATCCAATGTATCCTAATTTTCAAACCACTTGCATTAAATACGCATAATGCAGGAATTGTACATTTTATGTGACAACCTTTATGTGACAATTCAGGGAAAGATAATACTCCATGTCCTACTTATAAGTTCTTAGTCTAAATTCATGATTTTAGTCGAGAAAGGAAATGCCAATAAATTCTAATGTTACTCAGTACTGTATTTGAAAAAAAAAAAAAGATTCTATATGCTTATCCACACTGCCTCACCATAAATGGTGAAATAACATTGAGAGTACGTAAAGTAACCTAAAGACATTCCATTTAACACACTGGGTTCTTTAACACAAACTGACATATTTCTGCACATATTTATAAGGCTTGATGGCCATTATTAGGCTGTAACTGCAGTTGTTCTAACACCTAATAAGCCATGGTTGAAAAAACAAAGGCAGGTTAATTTGTGATTTCCTCGACTCATTCAGAGGCAAATTAAGTGTCAAACAGCTAATACAGAACATATTTCACTTTATGAGATTTTAATTTAATTCTGCACAGTATCGCTGATGCCTTAATATAGGGTGGTTTATCTAAAAATAAGAGCAATTTATAAACCTCTTTCAATAGAATCTTTAATGATAACATATGATAGCATAATTATTGCAGCGCCTGCCATCCCTCCTAGCAGAGGTCTGCGAGCATTTCCATCAGCAACACAAATCCTGTTTTCAAGACTTATAATTGACATTTTAAAGTGGGCACCAGAACAACAATGTGTACAAAATAATGAGAATGCCCGCAGATTTTGTCTTCTTATAATTACAAATATATATACTCTAACAGCTTATAGTAAGCTCACTCGGTCTCGTTTTCTGTAATACAATTCTCTAGCACGCATTTTGGACTTCAGGAATCGGATTCAAGCTCTGTGACTGCTCGTCTGCTGATTTCCGGAATGGACAGCGTGGGTGTCTCCTGAGCACCTTTTACAAAGTACCTGGCGGAGAGCAGGGCACTGCCCACAAAACTAACAGGAACAGCGGCCACTAAACAGTAACTGATCAGGCAAGATAAGGGCACACACAGGGTGCTGTGAGGAACAGCCAGCTAAGGGTGGGGAGTTTAAGCAGGTCCTTGCCATGCAGAGCCAGAAGGTCACTGAGGGCAAAGCAGAGACAATGTCGTATTATAGAGGCACAGAGGTGTGGTTTGCACTAGCTTCCCAGCGCCTACTTCATAAACTCAGTGTCTCCACCCAGGACCCTGCTAGGAGGCCAGAGACCCAGGCTCCCCCCACGCTCTTCACTCACAGTGATGACATTTCCTCTCAGAACCTTCCAGAACTTCTCCTTTGAGGCTCAGTGTTATTTACATTATGAATCTTTGGAGGACAATTTAGTCAACTGCTGCTAAAGTATCCTAATGCTTGGCTGGAAAAGAAGGAAGTACTAAAATCTGTAGAAATCCCAGTTCACCCGTCATATCTGAAATGCAAGCCCTTCCCCCAGGATTCTCCAAACTCACCCTCAATTATCTTGTAGTGATTTTATAACTAGCGAGCTAGCACTGTAGGCATGGCGATCAGGGCCTAGGGCACATAGTGTGGACTATAGGAGGGCTTGCTATTGTTATATCTTGCCAAAGAACCAATACCTGGGATTGTACTGATTAATTCCTATTTGGATTTAATTAAAAGCCAAGCTATAATAAACCAAGAGGAACCAGTTCATTCAATCACATAGACTCATGTTTTGAAATTTTTCTGTAACATGATTTTGAAAGAGTGAAAAAAACTCTGAAATTCCACAGAAAATCTGATTTAAATTACTACATCACTGCAGAGACTGTAGAGTCTGGGAGAATCAGCCATGCAAAACCTCTGTGTAACGGGTGAATTACACTGCAGGTTTAAGCCTGAATTTGGAATTTCCTCCCCTTTGTATAGGGCATTTTAAATTGGCTTCTTGGTTTTATTTGGGTGTATTTCTAGCAAGCTTCAGAACCCTGGAAATTCTTATGCTCCTGTGAAAAGTGAGAAAAAAGTCACAAGTTTCTGTGTTTTCTCTCTATAAATACTCACTTCTCCTATAATGCTTATGGAAGTCTGCAACACAGATTTATTACTTACCTCCGGGCAAAGCTGCTCTGAAATTACAATTTAGCAATGGAGGACGGGCCCAAGAAGCGGTTGGTAAAATATGATATGTGTACTTGGGCACATAGTTAGGGTTGTTAATATCAATTAATTCTGTTCACAGAGGAGGACTTGTTTTAAAACAACTTCATTTTTCTTTGGCATATATGTAATTACACAGCTGTAACTAATAGCCAGGGAGATGCAATCCACCATCTAAATAACCAGCATTACTCTTCAAAGTATTATTTGTGCTTTTCTAACTTTACTGTCTCAGAATGAAGGGTGATTACATACAACTAAATGTTGTGTGTGTGTGTGTGTGTGTGTGTCCATTTGTAAAGGGCAGCCCTTCCTAGAACATGGTTCTAGTTATCCGGACAGTACTAAAAACACATACATACACAAATACATACACAAACACACACACATACACACATACATTTGAGCTTGTACGTCTACTATTTCTTTTCCCACCAAACTGAGTAAGATAATATTTATTTCCACACGATGCTCTTCTTCCTTTCCTAATGTATGTTACCACCACCATTCTTTCCTTTTATCTTTGTGTAAACCATGTGCTCAATCACATTTGCCATTTTGTTTGGGTGACATTCCCATCAATCAAGTGACTATTGGTGTACACACCACAGGGCTATGAAATTTACCATAGAAATTTCATTACGATTCTTGTGATCCCTGGGACAAGACTTTCACATCACAGAAAGTTTAGCATGAAAAACTTCAAAGGCATTCTCAACCAAATACATATTCTGTGTGGTATCCTTCCATTAGTCCTCTACTTTTTAATTTAGTATTTACAGCCAACAGAACACACATCACCAAACGAGATAGGAATGACCTGCCAGCTACCTCGTACAGACAGTCCTCAGGTTACATCGGACTCGATGTACGTCGTTTTGTGGTTTCGTTGCCATCTCCCATTTATTTATAAAAAAAAAAAAAAAAGTTCTGTCATTTCGACGTATGTACATATGTGCTTTATGTTTTTTATTATTTATTTACCACAAGTAAAGGTCAGGAATTGTTATCTTCCTTTTAAATCTTTTTTTTTACTGTTTCACTTCATTCCTGCTGTGTGTATGCTCCATGTGAGTGACATAGGTGCTTATGTAGGTGGGTTCCGACTTACGGCGAAAATCGCGTTACGTGGCGCCGTGGGAACGGATCTTCAACATAACCTGAGGACCTGCTGTACGTAGTATGACGGGAAGCATTGGGATTTGTTTCAGTAGGCCCAGGAATAGATAGGCTTGCTATATTTCAAAAAGTAAACCTTATTCTTCTATCACATCCTTAACGCCCAATAGCCATGCTGAAAACAAAAGGTCCGGAGGTAGCAGAAGCTGGTATTTTGTTCTGTGTCATTATTGGGTACGGTTTTAATACTTACACATGCAGTGGAGGAATCGGAGACGGATCATAATGGTAACGCCCCTCATGATGTCTGGCATCGATTGGCACAGGAGGGTGGAATGCAGGAAACAGGTGAGGAGGGTCTGAAAAAGAAAGTCCGACCTATATGAAAAGAACACTTTGGAACAGGATTCCAACCCGTGAAGCAACGCTGCGGTGCTGTCTTCATGACGTATGCTGAGCCTCCTTTAAGAATTTGTGGGAGAACTCTTTCAAGTTCATTATGAGGCTCCCTAAAGCAGAAGTATGACCAAGGCCCTACCACCTGCACCTGAGAAAGCAGAGCCTATGAAGGCAACCAAAGCCTACAGAGGGAAGCAAGAAAGAAAAGCACCCAAGCCTACCCTGGGCGAAAGGCTGGCCAGGACGGGAAGACTGGGTCACAAAGTCAAAGGAAACAGATTACGAGGCACTTGGTTATTGTAAATTACACTGTCAAGTGAATTTTAGACCAAAATGAAATATAAATATTAGTTTCATTTCTCCTATACCCATGGTGCTTTTTAAGGAAAGGAATCTATTCTAAAGTCCCTGCTGAAATCCATGGCATACATACAACACCCCACATACATATATCACACACAACATACCACCACACAAACTGCACATACCACACGCACACCATGCATACCTCACAGACACATCACATATACACATACAATGCACCACATACACAACACATATCCCCACACCAACCCCACATTCCACACATATACACCCGACACAGTACATCCACGCCCATTCATCCCACTTCCACACACACCACAGATACACCACATACACAACACATACCCACACACGCCCCCCACATACCATACTCACACTACACACAAGAAACACACATTTTGGTCATTTAAATGCATGCTCCCTTTCTTGGCCTGGGTTATACCTCCACAGTCCTGACACTGGGGCAGCAAATCCATAGGTTGGTGGCAGAAACGCTACCTGGCCTTGCTGCAGGAGAGGAGCGGACCCCCTCAGACTTACAATGGGTGGTTTGCGGCAAACTGAGGGCTTCCTACCTTTCAGCCCTAACATTCACCTTGGCTCCAGACTATCCTCCCATCTTGTTCTGCTCAGGCTGGGGTTCACCGTTTCCTGGGCTCCTGTGTGCACACTTCACAATAGTTCCTCTGCTCCCACTTACTTGTAGTAATTTATGCTAATTGTCTGACAAATCTGGAAGTATTGCCCGCCCCCCCCCCGCCCCCCCAAATAGTGGTTCACTGCAAAAACTGGAGTTTTGCTCCATTTTATCATTAGAACCATGGGAGATATTTTGTAACTGACACTCCGGTTTTTACCAAGTTTCAAGAAGCAAAATAAAGAACTTCAAAACCTGGGGGTGTGCCTCCTGGGCTTTATGTAAGCCTGATGTTACAGCAAACAAGCCGAACTTGTTCTTCAATAGCGCCTTCCACACGCAGCGGGGCCTGCAACAGCCATCGTGGTGCTGTTGCCCGTGAACTGGCAACACTCCCAGGAATTGATGTGTACATCAACGTGCCTCCAAAGGGCTTTGAGCTATTTCTACAAGCCTGAAGATCTGCCTAGACCTGAGGGTAGCAGGTGGTACAGGCAATTCCAAATGATGGCTGCAAGAAGCAACACGGAACCCTGAGGGCGGAGTGTGTGTGTTGGGTGCCGGTGCTGTGCCAAACACAGAAAAGGGTGTAACCAGTACCTCACCCCCACCACCCCCACCCCCACCCCCACCAGGAGCTCCTTAAGTCCCAGTGGAGAGCTATTGTGAGTGCCTGTGTGGGAATTCAGGTGGTTCTCATTTTCTTCCCCATACATTTCTCTTTTCTAAATCTTCAACAAGCATCTTTTAGGATACACTACTAAAACTAACAAACTTTTTAAAACTATGTATTTTCTATTTTGTTTATTTATTTTGTTCTTTAGATGCCACATGTAAGTAAAATCGTGTGAGATCTGACTTTCTCTGTCTGGCTTATTTCTTTTTTTCTTCTTTCTTATGACATTAACATACCTTCATATGAAATCAACAAATAAAACAGAAACAGACTCATAAATGCAGAGAACAGATGGATGGTCCCAGAGGGGAGAGGGTTTGGGGAACTGGGTGAAAAAGGTAAAGGGATGAAGAACTACGAATTGGTAGTTACAAGATCCTCAGAGGGAGGTGAAGCACAGCGCAGAGAAGGAATACAGTCAATAATACTGTAATAACTATGTATGGTGCCAGGTGGGTACTTGAAATATTGGGGAGATCACTTTGTAAAGGACGTGATTATCTAATAACTATGTTATACACCTGAATCTAATACAAAAATAATACTAAATATAAACTGTCACTGAAAGATAAAGTTTACAAAAACAAGTAAATAAAATTCTGTCTTATTTCCCTTGTGTTGGACTTTGCCCTTCCTTTGGAAATCTAACAGTATGGTTATGAGAAAAAAACAGTAAGCGTGAAAAACTATTAACATAGCATAGATAGAATTCAAAGTTGTGATTCCACCAGATTTAGAACCTAGGAAACTTCCGTGGCTAGAAAAAGACCATTGTACTGAAAATGCCCATTACTCGTGGTATTTTGTGCTTCTTGTCAGATAAGCGGTGGGAGGGCGGTTCAGGGGAAGGAAAGGAACCATCTTGGTATAGTCCTATCATTGTCGCTGTGATATTAGGATGTGCGACAATGCTGGGATTCCACGGGTGAGGGCTATGCTAACCACCCGATCCTGTCTCCCACACGTTATGCATTTTATAGAGTGCGTATGAAAAAAAGCAATCATATTTTACATGCACCAGTGAGGGCTTACTATTAACAGGTGTTGGAGCTGGGTGTTTTGTAAGGGAAATCTGGATAGTTGGTCGGCCAAGTTTAAAAGTTTATCCACCATGGTTGTCCCAGGCAGCGCTCCACATAACTCAGAGCAGAATGCCCTGCTTTATTTAACCATTTTCAATAAAAATCACTCATCCTTCTGAAAACAATGTCATGTGAAGTGGAGCAATCTTTACCACTATTTGGAAAGTCTGACACACCACACTCAGTGAATGTTTCCCGATTTTAAATTTGGAAACAGGCCCAAGTGAATCTGACTCCAGTCTGGGGTCAGGTGGATGGCCAGGAGACGGCTCTTCTTCCTCTTCCTTTCCTCTCAGCAGCCGCCGATGAGCACACGCTTGCCTCCAGCAGACTTCAGACTTAACACATGCCATCTGCTCTTGGAAATCAGGGCAATAAACCTGCTAGAACTGTGCGTAAAGTAAGCATTCAGGAGGTCTAACCCACCCCCGAAAGGCTTCTCCCCGGCACCATTTTATATGGCCGCTTTGAGGTGAATTGTGACAACTATGTCAAGAGTTGGAAGATATTTTTACTTCCTTGTCTCTTCGCTCTTGGCTGTGTTCTGCCTGATTAAACTCTCTCCACCAAATAAGTGGGTATTAGCTGTACCTGACTTTCTCTCTGTGGGTGCACTGTGCATTATGACAAAGCACAAATCCACATTTTCCTCTTGTTTTTTAAACATAATTTTATTTATTTCAGAGAGGAAGGGAGAGGGAGAGAGAGACAGAAACATCAATGATGAGAGAGAATCATTGATTGGCTGCCTCCTGCACGCCCCCTACTGGGGATCAAGCCTGCAACCCCGGCATGTGCCCTTGACCAGAATGGGACCCGGGACATTTCAGTCCGGAGGCCGAAGCTCTAGCCACTGAACCAAACCAGCTAGGGCCACATTTTTCAAACACACAGGGCTCAAAATGTGTGAATTAGCTCCACATTCAATACATACCTCATAGATGCAGGAACTTATAGTCATTATCTATTATATGAGTATTTATAATAAAGTTACAGGGATTATGTGCATAGGGGTGAAGACAAACCTGTTATTCCTATAAAATCAAGACAGTATACCTGGGCATTATAAAACTCTCTTCTCCAAGGAAATCTTACAATACTATCATGGACATTTAGAAGGCATTACCATCTTTAAATTTTGAGAAATTATTCGAACGGGATTTTATTTCAACATCTCTGTCCCACCCTCTTTCCTTTTTTTGGGATGAAAGAGAAAATGATCAAGCACTGTAAAAACACCTGAGAGGAAAATATGGAACAATTATTGCAGTCATTTCTCACTGTTGAGTGAGATTTGTGAGTGTAGAAGTTAATTCTGACTGGAAGTCTGTGAGGCATCTTACAGCACTGTTTGCACAGCCTTTACTTATGTCCCATGGAAATGTATGAATTCTGCATTCTGGAATTAGGTTACGTCAACAACAAAAAGTTATGGTTATGATCTGACTTGGCCAAAGACCTCTGGTTATAGGTTTAAGAATTTTACTATTTCTATTTATTTCCCTCTTGATTTCGTTTAAAACAACTTCTCCTGGACTGATAAAATCTACTCAAACAATTTACTTTATGTCATTTATCGGTGGGAATGACACCTCTGAAGCCACTTTCTGCAAAAATGCAATGGAACACCTCATCCAATTGAAGACATGCCTGACCACAACTTAACAGTATAAACAAAGAGTAAAACGCAGAAGGGGACCATCCTTCCCCGTATCACACAACAATAAGCCTAAGGAAAAGAAGAAGAGAGACAGAAAAAAGCCTGATCCTCACGCCCCGAATGCTTCCCTTGCATCTTGGCTTGTCGTTTCTATCTGGAAGATCCGCCGCACACTCCATCACGGGCCCAAGAAACTGTCCAAAAAAACCCATATGACAAGAACAGGCCCACGTCGCCAGCAGCCACCATAATTATCCACCTCATGGTTTATTATTTACACATGAGCAGCGCAGCTGTGGCGCATCATAACTCAAGTGTATGTGTAATAAGTCACGGCACCGCAGCCATCTCCTGTTCTGGCCCTTGACAAAACACCACATGATGACTTTTCCAAACTCCAGTTAAAACTGCTGAAGCAGAAGGAAGTGCCACTAAACCTAGCTACCTCCTATTTATCATACAATTTCCTGACTGATGGTTCCACAAACCAGCTGCTAAGTGCTGTGTACTCTACTGTCAGCAAACTAACGTGCTAAATGGAAGACAGGGAGACTAATGTGCAGAACTGGTGAAATCAATTT